GAAGATAACAAACACTGTTGCTTTGTTTAGCAGCTTTACTGGGTTTCACAATTGAGATAGCTTTCTTGACGATATAAATTTTTGCGGTTTAGGACTTATGCGCCAGTTTGCATCCAATAATTTATATCAAACATTAAGGTTTCAGTGATAGTTCTTGTTGTGTTCAAGAGTCTGAGAAATAAGTAAAAGAAATAATCAACCTTTGACTTGAGACCTGAGGCGAAGCATAATACCCGGCGGTGGAAAACTGTAATATTACTGCCACAGTTCTATGACGCCTCTTAAGCGTAAAAAAAAAGAACTCTGTAACTCCAGAAAGCAAATCTGCTTTTTTTCCCACTCATCTCTGTCTCTTCTTCCAATGGTTACGCCTCCTAAACAGATTTCTTGATACTGTTAACTGAAAAGCCTGCTAAAAAAATTTTTGAATTTTTACGAGGATACCCAGTTCTATTAAAAACCGTGTCAGTGCTTTCCAGTATCGATCAGTGTGGTCGTCTTTTGACCTACTTTATTTTTCGCGTGGAAGATATCTCGTCTTAGTACTACTTTTAGCAATCTGGTTTAGAAACGATTTTTGTTCAAAATATTGAAAAACAACTTCTCGTTTTATAAAGTACACAATTTTTACACTGTCATTTTCTTCTAAAAAAATACGGTATCATATAACACTTTCATCATTGCCGATTAACATCAACATTTAAAAGATATTCTGAACATGGATTTCCAAGAAAACAATACTTCCCCAAACTACAAGTTAGATATACCTCATAAAAAATTTAGTTTTGGTACTCAAACCTGAGAAGAATGAGAAAGAAATTAGCAAAACTATGTGGCCATCTTCTTGAGTTGTTTCAGTAAATTGTCAATAATTTCAGGTAAGGAACCGATTCTATGGTTAGGTTCTTCTGTGCGGCTAGTAAGTACTGTACACTCTGGCAATCAAATACTCGAGGTTAGCACTGGTTTCATTAAATTTTATTGACTTTTTACTGGGCACTTTGGCGACCGTAGTAGCTTTTTGACGGAACACTTTGGCAAATTCAAATCATGTTGCAAAAAAAATATCTAATTTTTCAAAGAATCCTCTCATAATTGTTTTACACGGCTTTCAGATACAACATCAGCACTAGGCTGTCTGTGCTAAAATGGTCTGAACCTGAATTTTTCTCCGTTTAACAGAGCCGTAAAAAGTGATTAGAGCGCTTAAAATAATCTCTATTTAATATAAATAATCGGTTGTTAGCTTAATCACTAGATAAAACTTTCATTCGAATAAGTGTGAAATATTGTATATTACGCTTAACTAACAACTTTTAAGATAAACAAATGTTCACTTAATATTCGTAGCCACAAATTTTTTTTTCTCTGCAAAACGCTTAATTACATCCGTGAACTGAGCACCGCGTACTCAGTTATTTACTTTCACCGCTGCTATTTGCTTCCCTGCATTTATCTTTTTTTTCTAAACATTACTGACTTGATTAGCGATGAGCTAAATTACATAACTGACTACATTCATAATCAACTTAAACTCTGAAAGACGTTGCAATTCATATTCCAATGATTTTTTGGCCCACCATAAACTAAGCTGTGTACACAGTTCAAGAACTGATAATAAAGCTGGTGCATTGCTGTTCCCCCATCGACAGCTCTGTCTAAATCAGTCAAATATAGGGAATTCTGTAATGCTGTATAAGTCGCATTAAAAAAAAAAAGCTAACAAGAAACAACAAAAGCTACGAATGATAATTCGACAAGACCCTTTCACAATCCCAAATAAATAAAAAAAAAAAAAAACAACGACAGATTACAACACAGGTATTGTTTCGGTTG